TATTAGCTGGTACAGTGAGGTGTTTTGAATTTTTTTGAGATTATGTTGATAACACACCAATGTTTTAGTTGTTGCTATTTAGTACTTACTCTAAATCAAGGGTTTTTCAGTTTCCCATGCTCTGCCAATGAGGAGATGCACAAAAAGCTGGGAAGGAGCATGGCCAGGGTGGCTGACCTGAACTGGCCGAAGAATATTTCATACCCTAGAATGTCATGCCCAGTATATAGACGGGGAGAGTTGCCCAAGAGTCAACAGTTGTTGCTCGGAGACAGGCTGGGCATCAGTCAGTGGTTGTGAGCAACTGTACTGTACATCACTTGTTTTTCTCGGGTTTTATTCTTCTCTCTCTCATTGCAATTATTATTATTGTTATTATCATTATTGTCATTATTATATTTTCTTTTGTTTTAGTTATTAATTACACTGTTCTTATCTCAAACCATATATTTTACTTTTTTTGATTCTCCTCCCCATCCCCCTGGGGTTGGGAATGAGGAAGTGGCACTTGTGTGGTGCTTTGTTGCCAGCTGGGGTTAAACCATGACAGAGAAACACAAAGAGACGTAACTGAGGCAAAAATGTTTGGATTTCTGAAATTACAATGGAAATTCAGCTCTTGACATTTGCTAATCCTGGATAGATGGAATGTTGTTAGAGTCTGACACAGTAAATTATGCACCACATAATCAGAACAAATAAACTTTGTTTATATTGGGGTTTTCAAGATTTCTGTAATTTTGTTTCTTAAAATGAAAGTTAGTTGGAAATTCCTATACCATTTCCTAGTAGCTGGGAAAAACTGTCTATAGACTTAGCATCCTTGTACTGGCCTTTTTGACTCTGTTACGTATCAACCCACTTCTGCTGAGCAATTTTGAAAAGATTTAAGCTTATTGTTATGCAAGAGGAAAACTTAAAAAGCATCCTTCCTTTTTCTTCCTAACACATTTTGTTTCCAGTAAATTGAACTATGTGTTTAGCCATTTGTAATATTAATTTTGTGGAAAGGCTTTTTTTTTTTTTTTTTAATAATTGCAACTGATCAGATGAATTTTTTTGGCATACTGGACCTTAATAGGTTTCAAATTTTAGCAATAAACACCTGTAAAGCTTTCTTGGGCCTAAATATTTCAACTTGCTGCTCAGTTGCAGTCTTTCCTCTTTAGTGTTACACTCGTCCTACACATTCCTGTGTTTCTCCTCCCAACCTGCTAGCCCCACAATTTGTGGTGATTTTTAACTTCTAAAGTTGATTGGAAGGGTGGAACTGCACAGGAAACTGGCAGGTAGTAAATGGTCCAGGAAAAAGAGCACAAGGAAAGCTCTGCAGGGAAGGCAGAGACTGAAGGCAAGTGTCAGAAATACAGAAGAAACATTGATTTTTAAATGGATTTTCAGACAAATCCACCAGCTTTATACATACTTTGAGTGCTGATGCTCTACAACATTTTAATAGAGAACAGTCTTACAGTAATGTAAACTTTGCAGAAATGAAAGTATACATTAGATCTCTGTCAGCATGTAGTATTTGCCCTGGGAGTAGTTCAATACTAAAATGCTGTTAGGATAATTTTATCTGATCTGTTGAATCAGAATGGCATGTATTGCTGATGTATATGAAAATTATCTGTTATTGATAATGTCTGAAAACATTCCCAAAATACAATGCACAAGGATTTTCATAATTTCTTACCCATTATAACCCACCATACACTTCTCTAAACAGAGAACTTTTTTAAAAAAGAGTACATAATTAAATTCATTAAGTAATCATTAAAGCTTCTTTAACAGTGGCTCTGAGGCTAGTACATCTCCAGAAGATAAAATGCAGATTAACTAGACTTTGTCACACTGTAGCAATTAGCTGGATTAGAAAGTTTTAGAATACACGAGAATGTTAAGTATAGAGTGTTAAGTATAGAATGTTTGTCCAGTTGTCATTAGGCAATTTGGTTTTACCTTCCTTTTATCTGACTTCTCAGGCTCCTGTGATGTCAATTAATATGACTATTTTTTTTTGTGCGTTGACATGAAAGCTGTATTTACATCAAAACTATTGTTTTATATCATAGTTTTGCTGTGTTGGTAGGCATAAGTCTTTTGAGTTAAATTTGTCAAAGACGACAAATCTGTTTCTTTGGCAAGTGTATATACTTGTAGGCTTTCCAAATTATGCTTTCCTGCATTCCAGCATCAAACTGGTAACTAGTGGTGCAGGCAATAACCATGGCATGATCTTCCTTCTGGTTATATTACAACTACAGTACCAAATGTACCTGTCAGCGTGTTTCACAGGTCTGGAAACAGCGTTGCACGGAATGAATCTGCTCCGACAGCTGCTCCCACTGTTGTCCATCTGTGACACTACAGTGACAATATAGGAGTTACAGATTATTCCAAGGTGGAAAGGTCTCACAAGGATCCTTGAGTCCAACTTTTAAGTGAATGCCCCATACAGGGACTGAACCCACAGCCTTGGTGTTACTGGCACCAGACTCTAACCAACTGAGCTAATCCCCGGGTTAATATTTAACTGCTGTTTTGGAAGCCACCGTCGGCATCTGTGGCTGACCCCCAAAGGTGCAGTCATACACTGGTGACATATCGAAGACAGAACGTACAAGCTGTACCCTGCTCTCAGACACTGTTGTTGCAGAACAGAAGACTCTTTTGAAAGAGTATGAAAAATTATATCAGGATTATACTTTGATAAAATTATATTATAAGTTATGTCTGGAAACAAATCCTGACACTTTAAAATTTTGATTTCATACTCTGAATTACATGGACTTCCAACCTAACTAGCTTCTGTTAAGTGTCCTTCAAGTCTTCCTAGAAGCTGTCCCCCAATGCATGGTGTTTGAAACAGGAGCGAAGACGGCAGCAATCTTCTTTCTCAAGTTGATCTTATCATTCAAAATAAATTCCATTCTCTGTATAGAAGCAATCAATGTGTCATGGTGAAGAAAAATCAGCACACTGAACATGGATGAAACATTCCCATTAGTGTAACATGACTATAAAGAACATTCTTACTACGAGGTAACCTTGTAGGCAAGGCTGAAGTCTTGAGAAAAATTGTAGAGTAGAGATTCTGAATCAAACTTTGTAACATTAATGGATGTTGAGCAAGGTTGCCCAGTGGTATAAATCAGCACGCCATTAAATCAAGTACTGGAAGTTAGTAGAAATACAGTATTTCATATCTGATGAGTATCAGGTCTTAAAATCTTTAAGGAGTAAAAAGGCATTTTTTTCACTGAACTTGGCTTTTTTTCTTAGTGGTGCTCTTTTCCTTTGTGTGTTCTTACATTTCACAATTCCTGTTTGCAATTGCTTTACACTTCAAAGTGGTCTTTTAAATATATTTCAGTACACATTGTCTGGGACTATCTATCTGTTGAAATTTTCTCCTGTATATTTTACTGTTACATGCAGGTATGGCTATATTTGTTTCTTTGATCAAGTAGGACAATTAATTACATCGTTTAAGTGGGTGACTTGATTTATAGAGAATTACAGAAGCCAGAGCAATATGGTGCATGAAAATAGCTATTAAATAAAGAATGAAGCCAAATGATGTTCAGCCATAAAAACCATATATTATATATGCAGTATAATAGCCATACTATCCAATTTCTAGTACTATTAAACATGTCAGCATAGTTTCTCTGTCTTCATAATCATGAATTATTTTTACAGGATACTGTAATTTCATTCTGTTAATAATAAAGATGCTTGATATAATATAACCTCACAAACAATAAATTTTTGTAGATAAATGAATCATACTTTATGCGAAGGGTGCATTTATAAATACTTCATGTAGAATTAATAGATGATCAATAAATGTGATCAGTAAATTACAGCTACATATAGAATAAGCCAGCAGTGCCTGGAAGCATGTAAGTGGAAGATGTTAGAGATTTTCATATACCAAGGTCATAAAGAAGCCATAGACATATTGGCTCTTATGGCCATCTTGAAAAGTGACCATGATGTAGTTTGATGTACATTTGTAGACTGATGAACAAGAAAAGTCCCCTCTGCTTGTCATGCTTCTGTGGACAAATGACCTGGAACAGATTAGGGATGGCAATGGCAGTCTAAGGAGAGATGCTCAGGAAGTACAGTATCTCTTTCCATTTGCCCTCTACGCATTTAGCCTTCATTTGCCTTCTCCGTTTTACCTTTGTTTAACACTGGTGAGGTCACATCTCAAGCACTTTATAAAGGCTGGGCCCTGCCTCATGCTGGGAGTTGTCACTAGGCTGCAGAGGACTACTAAACGCTTTGGTGAGAGAGCTGAAGTATGTGGTATGTGAAGATAGCCCTCTGTGTGGTCACCTTCAGTTCCTGGCTTGTCTCCCCTCACAGATCAACCACACTCTTGCTGTCCCCCGAAAATGGGACTGGAAGGTGATTCACTTCAAAACATTGCTGATTTCACACATGGTCTCTCACACTCCCACAGAGGAGCATGAGGACATACATGTCCAGGTAGTCAGTTCAGCATGCATGCATCAGGATACTTGAATATAGGCAGTCTGCCCAGGAGCCCTGTTGAAGGATAAGGACACAGGCTATTGAGACCTCATCTTGTCTCCTGGTCTCTTAGGTTGGGAACTAAAGCTGATTTTTACACATGCCTTTTTCTATCCTTTAGGGCATCTCGGTAATGAGTTTCTCCATCCTATCCCACATCTCACCTCCATGAGTTGTCAGCATTTACTCACTCTTCTTTGTCTCTGATGGGGGTATCCTAAGAAGCTGCTATCTCTCTGTTAGGATCTTGATGAACTGATAATGTCTAGATGCCTTCAATACAGTCAATGCACAGCCCTCTGGGGTATGGGCCACTCCCCCCAGCTTTGTCTTGTCAGCAAACTTGCTGAGGAGGCTGTTACAACCTCCTTCTGAGGCAGAGTAACTGAGGTTCTTGTTAATATATCCCTTGGGGCGAATTAGAGTGAAAGGACACTGAACAGACAGGTGTATATATTCAGCAGGTTTATTTTAAAAAAATTTGGTTGCAACAGATAGGAGGTGTGTAGCCATTTTAGTTCTTTTCTATAAAAACATAAACTGTATCATGAAGAAAATATATAAGGAAAAGAGAAAGAGACAGAAGGGACAAGTGTAGATAGTGGAGAGGAAAAATATCACCACCTGTCAATCCAGTGATGAGACTTGATTGATGCAATTTCAATGTCCATGGTCAGAGTGATGGTCTCAGTCTTGATCTCTTGGAGGTAGGTGCCCACACAATAAAGGGTTCACCTGGTTATATATGTTCAGACTTAAGTGAGAATGCTCCTATACTTCCAGTGTGGCGGAGTTTTACACTGTCAGATACAGATGCATTATCAGGAGGGAGGAGATTGGCATGATAAAAAGCATTACTCCACCTCTGAAGGATCTGCTTCTTATCAGTCTTTTCCTTTATCTGGCACAAAACCACTTTGTTTAAGTCACCAGTCTTATCAGAGAAACAATAGATTGCAGGGCTCAACCAGCCCATCCAATCAGTTTGGTCCATCACAGAGGCTCTTTCATCAAAGTCACTGATGAATATGTTAATACTGGGCTCAGTATTGAACTTGGGGAACACCAGTAATGGCAGGCCTCTGACTAGACCCTGTGCCACAACCCTCTGGGATCTGCCATTCTCAAGTCACCTCACTGACCACTCGTCCAGTCCACACTTCCTCAGTTTGTCTATGAGGATGTTGTGAGAAACAGTGTTGAAAGTCTTGCTTAAGTCGAGGTAGACAATATCCACTGTTCTCCTCTCATCCATCCAGGTAGTTGTTTCATTGTAGAAAACAATCAGGTTGGTCAAGCCTGATTCACCTCTAGTGAATTGATGCTGACTACTTCTGATCACCTTCTTGTCATCCATGTGGATGGAGATGGCCTCCAGAAAGAGGTGCTCCATTCCTATTCTTAGGTCATTCCTATTGCTCTTCTCTCACCTTTGATACTTCCGGTGCTGCTTCCACACCCTGTCTTGAGCAGCATGGCTGAATCTGGTGATCTGGTTGGATTTGATGATCTGCAGCAACTCCTACAGTTTTCCTTTCCTATAATTCTGTGACATAGTCATAGTAATACAATGCAGCCAAGGATTGTCTCTGTGAAAAAAAGAGATTTTAGGATATCCATTTCTTAGAAAACTTTTGTGATAAAAGTACTGAGCACCAGGGATATTGGCCTCTTGGGAATCTGTTATGTGAGTGATGAAGTGAGAGGAATTACAAGGAGTGAAAAAGACATCTAGTTTTAGCAGAAAGAAATCAAAATTTGATTAAAAAGTACACAAACAAAAATAAGGAATAACTTAAAGAGTAGGAAAACATTCTTAGCTAAAAGGATGTATTTATATTACTTAAAAAAAGGTGTAACAAGGACTGTGGCTCATCTGTCTGAGAAATTGGATATAAACAGTAGAAAACAATTGAAGTATCTGTAAAGTAATTACAAGGGGTTTTTACAAAAGAAAGAAATTAGAACAACCAGTGCAGAATATGAAACTAGATAGGAACAATGTGAATAGTGAATAGCAGTCATCTTTGTAAAGCATAAAATGTTCAGAAAAAAGTAACTTGAAATCACATTTTCAGAAGAAATATTAAAGGCAGTTTGGAGTGGAACAGATAGGTAAATACTAAAGCCTATAAATGGGTATCCCCTTTAAAAGGGAATACGAAGAGAAAAAAATTAGTTTTACTATCCCTTTTGATGATTGATTCTTATAAAGAGACAGAAAGTTTCCTGAAGGGAGTGAATGCAGTTTGCCAGAGATTTCCCCTCAGGTTTCAATTCAGAGATAGATGCAATTCACTGTAGCGTTCGTCATTCTGGTATAGACTGGAGAACAAATGTTTTAAAATCTAGATATTTCTGAGCCTGGTATTATAAAGAACATGCACCAAACAGCCACAGAACCCAGCAGAAATGGGTAACAGACTTATTTGTGTTGTGATGTTATTGAAAATGTGGTCATTGAAGAGTACTTTGAAATGAGTGACCAGAAATTAGTTTAGCTATGAATAAATGACGTGTAAACCAAAGCAGATTCTAAGGGCCACAACAACAAAGGGTCACATCATACATGTGATATGTCCATGAAAACAGAAAATGCAATCACCAACTGTGTTAGAGTATCTCCAGCATCTAAATGAAGTGTCATTAATGTCTGAAATTCTGTGGCTATATCTATATAGGAAAATAAATGGCTCATAAGCCTAAATTGTATGTCCCCTTCCCAACTGCCTCACCTAAAAGAAAAGTCCAAGATCCACCTCAAAGCATCTCCTGGGAATGCCCTTGATTTGCTCTGTCCTTCAAACCATATGTTGTCCAGAGGAATACTGGACAGTGTGGGCTAAAGTCATGCCAGGAACTGACGGTTTGGTAGTTTGGATGATCCTGTACTTGTGCCCTTATGCTGCCTCTACAGTTCTTGATTCCTAGAAACACAGACTTGACTTGCAGCACTGGGAGGTGGCAGTAGCAAGAGAATCAGGAGAACAGGGAACCTGTTTCTGTCAAAAGAATAAAAAGGATCAGTGTATTTAAATTAATGAAAAGAAAGTAGTGAGGGATACAATCAGGTTTCCTTTTTGCAAGAGAGGTAAATGCCAGAGAAAGTGAAAGTTCACTTCAGCCAACTGGCAGTAATGACTCAAGGACAAAAATGTATGACTTTTGCACAGGAAAACTGAGTCTAGAATTTAAAATTTCTAAACATGAGAAAAATATGATGCAAGGATCAGAAATTTAAGAGTCAAAAGAACTCCTGTACTGTTTTTAATATAAAGCTTGGTTAGTTAGTGATGAAAATACTATAACATGACTGGCAGATTGTTTCCTATTTGACATTCCTGAAACCTGTGATTTTATTTCCTAAATCTTTACAGATAATCTCTATTCAAGAAGAACATTTCTATTTCAAATACAGATAGCTAAAATGTGTTTAAGCTATTTTGTTATCGTTTCGCTAAAAAAAAATCAGTAATTTTTCTGAGTTGTAATTTTTTTCTATATTCATACTGTGATGGGGATGCTTATATTTTTTCCTAAATTATACTATGATGGGCCTAGTTCTGAAAGACTTTCTCAATGACAGCTCTCCGTAAGATGTGAAAATCCAGTCAGCAAAGGAGCAAAGCAATCAAATTGGGATCAAAAGACAGAGAGGCTGGGTCTGAGTGGTGCTTAGGCAAGGTGTACTGTGGGTCAAGTGATAAAAGAGGAAAATAAATACCATTAGCCTACTGGAGACTCAGGGTGCCAGGAAGCAGAAAGGTTTTTTCATGCCTTCAGCCACTATCCGGAAATATAATTGGATAAAGTCTTATTTGCATCTTTGGGATTTTAGGTTTCTGATGGAATTTATCTTGCTTAAGTTGTCCTTGTCTAAGTTTGTAAACTTGGCCTTCTAGCCTTAAATAAACTCAATAAATGGGCAAGATTGAGAAGGAGATGAGAATGGAGTCTGCCCCTAGTCTGTAATAGGCTGCCAAGTGTAGCCATTAGCAAAAGCTTGCAGTGCAACCTCCCATACAATTAGAAGGCAATATTTATAAAATTAATAAAAGAAAACATGAAGCATCTAATGGAGGACTGACCCATGGCACTCATGGTCAGACTCAGGTCAAGGGCTAAGTAAGCTATATGAAAAACATGATATTTATGTAGGTAATATCCCCCCATTTAGACAGATTTTTTTTCTGCAGCAATATAAACCCTGTATATCATTGCATAAAGCCACTACTACTGTGTTATGAAAACAAGGGAATATTTTCTCCTATATGCAGGTTCCTCTCCAGATTGTCTGCCTCACAATTCTTCACTACAGGGCTTCCAGCATTTTCTGTTGACCTCTATTAATGTTCAATGTTTTATTCTGTGATACTGTGATAACAAATTTTAATACAGAAAACAAATTTTAATATAGGATATATATTGTCTAATGGAAATAGCAGCAACATGAATGCAATAGGAGAAAGTGAGATATGATGCAATGTAATAAAGGCTGCGGTAAAATAAATTGGCATTGCCATACTGGTCTCCCTTCCTTGTGTGTCTGAAATCTCATCTCATCACGCAGAACATTTTTCAAGCTTGCTTTCTTTTGAGGTGATGCAAAAGATAAAGGAATTCCCAACTCTGGTGATACTGTAGGTATTTTAGAATCAATTTTAATTTGATGGAAGACCTTTCATGTAATGGTTATATCAAAAAAGCTGCAAGTATCAATTTCAAATCCAAATACTGCAACCCCAAATTTCATCTTACAGTTAGAAGTGAAAAAGAGAATTTTCATTTTTTACTGTTCTTCCCTTTCCCTAGAGTGCCCTTCCTGTTGCCACCAGAGATATCTTTATGTACCTGACGTTGAGATAAAGCGGGGTTAATCAGATCTAAACACATACATGAATAGACGTATATTTGCAAAAGCTCAGTTCAGAGAAAATGCTTATGTATGGCACCATGATGATAATTTTTAATAAGCAGGAAGCCACAATAGCTGCAGAAATACTTAAATCTCATTTCCTATCAATCTGTGCCTCTGTTACTACATGTTCCCTCCACCTTTGCCTGGGAGACCACTAGCTCTTAGCCCCTAGCTAATATTTTCTCAAAATATTCCTTCCTCATTTCCTTTAAGCCTTTTTTCTTCCCCTGCTTTGTCCTCAGTTTTGTCCCGTAGGCAGGGCAAGAGAAAGTGTGTACTGTGTGGCTGATTCTGGGCTGCCAGGATGCTAGTTCCTTGGATGTACTGGCATACTAATTCCTTGAATGGTAATGTAGGTGTCTTAGCATCAGTTTTCATTTGCTGGAAGAGCTTTCATGCTCCCTTGTAATAGTTATATCAAAAAAAGCTTGAAGCAGTAATTTCAAATCTAAATACTGCTGGCAGGCCAAACACAACAGGCAACTTGAGCTCACTTGTCTTCTCCACCGGGTTTGCAATATTTAATTCTTCCTTCTTTTTGCATTTTCTGCTTTTCTGAAAGCTTTCAGGAACTTCAGGCTGCAAGACTTCAGTTCCCTTATCTTTTTTTTTTTTTTTTTTTAACTGACCATCTGGTTCAATAGTTATTAGGGAAGGATTGACAGAGAACTTAATTAAATAAGCTTCATTTCCTTTCAAATTCATGCTACCAGCTTGCTCTGCTGTGGGCAGCATTTTACAGATAAAGCCAAACACAGATCAGTAGAATCATGCTTGTATTATGCCAGACTCCAAATCCCTGCTTCAAGCCACTGGAAAACTAAAGCTTCTAAACCCATCTGAATTGCTTAACATGTAATAAGTTACTATTTTTCCCATCTTGTGGATCCCTCTATTCCAAGAAAGAGACAAATTGACTTTGGTTGAGATTTGGAAAAAAATGCTGGTATATAATCACCTACCTACTTACCTACCTGTGTCCTAGTTTCAGTCTAACTTCCTTCTTATCTCTAACCAATATATAACAGCATCAATATCAAGAGCTGTTTTTTCAGTTAGTAACTATATCTATTAGTGTGAACATTTAACAAGCTAACTGGGGCACAACAATCCCAGTTTTTTCCTTGCCTTTATCAGTATAGTGTTTTGAGAATGAAAGCCATATATGTATACACACCTCCTCACATCCTATTCTGAGGTCTTTATGTATACTCAGAATAAGGTTTGCATAAACCTTATACAATCTTTCTGCACAGCAGAGAAGTTCACAGAGTCAACACATTATGTTTTTTTAAAATGAAGTTTTTCTTATATAGGAACAAACAAGTACCATTTGCCTTTAGTGTAAAAATATTCCTTTTGGGATAAAATTGATGTCACTATATGATAGTTTCAGTCTAGGCCTTCCTGGAGACCTGCTTGTAACCTGGGAAGTACCCTATATTCCCAGTGTTCCATACGATTTTTTACGTAAGCAAGAGTATAAAATAAGAAGGAAAGGGAAGGTTCACTCTCTTTTCTTTCCAGCGAAGCTCGAGGCAGCAGCGCCCTGCAGCCAATCCTGCTGGCGTGGGGGGAAAGTGAGTCCAAGTGAGGGCTTGTAGACCTTGAGAGGCGGCGGTTGTCTGGCGCCATCCTGTTTCTCAAGGAGAGTCGTAAGATTTTCTTTTGCTAGTTCTTTAATACAATCAAAGGAGAAGGAGAAGAAGAAGGTGAGTATCTGGTTTTAACTAGTGAGGATTGTAGAATTAAGCTGAATGGTTGGACTAATCTGGCCTTGGGTCTTTGCATGCCGGAGTCCAGCCTAGTTTAGCACCAGTGTTGACTTTACTGTGCCATGATCCAACAGGACTGAGGTAACAGCAGTTAAACAGGTAATAGCAGAAATAACCAAGGAGCTGCACTTCAAGAGTAGGACTTGGACTAGGGAAGATTGTGTGAAAAAAAGGGTATTTCTGCATTCATCTGAGTCTGCTTACCCCTGGGAGTAGTTTTACAGGTGAGCAGAGTTTGTGTGGTTGACAAGAGTGCTAGCTAAACCGTAGCAACTTGAAGTCACAGGGTTAGCCAGACTCGTGATGTGCTAGTTTGGATACTTGTGGATTCTGAAGTGCCAGAAACACTTCAGCAGCTTTGGTCTGACACAGGATCTGTGCATATCTCCATGTACCACACTACTGCAAGCAGAAGTACTGGGGAATATGGTGCACAGACATCTGAATGTCAGAAAACAAAGCTAAAATGGCTCTGCACTGAAATTAATAAACATACCAGGAGATCACTTGGCTCCAATACTTCATGCTGGCTGATGTTTTTAAGCTGCCACTTAAAAATAAGCAGAAGTATAGTCATTAAGAGCAGATTTTCTCCTTGGACATATACAAATGACTTAGCAGAATCTGTTCAAACAGCTGAAATCCTATTGTACTATGGTTTTTAAAACAGTTTATCACCTCCGTAAAGTCAACATCTGGCTTGCTCTGCTATAAAAAACTCTAAGAGCTACTATTTTAGGCAACTGTGGATTTGCCTTTAGGTATTTATCTTACAGTAAAGTATGACATTACAGTTAGTGCTGTACAGTGCACATGCAAATCCAGTTTAATGGGGTTTAAGCTGGGATTCATCCTGCATTATGTTAACCACTTGTCCAGGTTGCCTGAAATGGAACAGGGTCACACTTGGTTCCTGCTGCAGTCTCTCAGCAGATCTTTGGTGCCCTGAATAGAATTTGGGTGTTCTTCTTACATTCTTCTGTGCAGCCCTAGGGTATGGCTTACTCTCAGGATGTGCCTGTCATTCTCCAGTCTTTATAGCAGGTCCCTAAGGCAAATGACTCCTCCCACAGATGCCTTAGAAGTGTACCTAAACAAAGATGGAGTAAATCCGAGCTTTACAGCAGCCCCAGTACAGTGCAACAGCACGTTTGTGGGGAGCTTTATCTCACCTATATTCAGTCATGTAGAGGCTGAGCTTCTCTAAGCTAGCTGTCTTCACAGTTGGTGGGCTGACACAGGTAGATCCAGAAAGCAGTTCCTCTTATTAGTGC